TTATTAGTCAGATGAAATGTCATTAGAAAATACAAAAGCCACCGGAGTTGAGAGAAGGTTAGTTACAGCGACTCCTCAAAAGATGGGTGAGTGAGGCTCTCTTCACCTCCCCTAAGCCTGAGAACTCTACCGCTTCCTGGATCCTTTCTCTTAGAAAAGCCTAATGAACACATTTGTGCTCAGATGTTTAGCCTTCCTTGTACTTGTTTACATGAAAGTATCAGCCTTTAAAAATGACACCAGGGGAATGGAGACAATTTATACTGCTAAATGACCTGCTAGTTGTCATGTTAAAGCACCAGTGGGAGAACTATTTCAGAGCACAGACACTTGGGAGTATCTTTCAAATATGCAGCTGGGGCAGACATTCCTAACTGTTCACCAGATCTGTGTTGCTTGTCTTCTTCCTGGGCACACGAGGCTTCTGTTATTGTTTGGAGTGGGCATATTAAATGAATTCTAACTGAAAAAATGCGAGTGGAAATGAATTGTACAAATACGAGACCTGGCCCACAAACACCTCCTGTGCACACTCTTCAGCACTCTTTTTCTCCTTCTGGATGAGACAATCACAGAGACTTTAGAAGCCTCATGTTGAAGATGGCCAAATCTTCATTAGCAGAAGTCTCTTAATGACTCCCAGGAGAAGTACTATCAAATGATCTGTACATTCACTCAAAACTGTTACATGAGCAAGAAGTATACTGTGTTTTCTTTTAACTTGTTATATATTTGGGGGCCTATTTGTTACAGCAACCAGAGTTAGAACCTAACTAATATAGCCATGTTGGTTTTGAATGCTTTGCTGTACATACAGCCTGACTAAATTCTTTCTCAATGGAGAGGTGAGAAACCACATCTGTGGAGAGACCACCCACACGAGAAGTGAGGAAAAAATTAGAGAATAGATCATTTGTACCATCTTGTAAATCACTAGAGTCCTATAGAGTTTAATTTTTCCCACCTGAAGTTAGAAAAATGCACTGGTTTCAATAAGAACTCTCTAAAATAAATAAAAGATCATCATTCTCTTGGTTGATTTTTAAAAATCATTTTTGTCTTGTTTTTGGTCTTAGGTATGGTCTGAAATTAAATGTTGAAACCCTAACCCCCAAGGTGATGGTATTAGGAGTGCGAGGAGATGATTAGATTATGAGGGTGGAGCCCTCATGAATAGGATTAGTGCCTTTATAAAAAAGAACACCCCAATGAGCTAGCTCACCCCTTCCAACATGTGAGGATATAGGTAGAATTTACCGTATGTGAAGCAGGAATGTGTCCTCGCCAAGCACTGTATCTGCTGTCCCTGTGGTCTTGGACTTCCTAGCCTCCAGAACTGTGAGAAATAAATGTCTGTTGTTTATAAGCTACCCAGTCTATTGCATTTTGTTATAGCACCCTGAACAGACTACGACAATCCTTATTCTTCTACTTGAGGTAGACTTACTGTGAGAAATAAATGTCTGTTGTTTATAAGCTACCCAGTCTATTGCATTTTGTTATAGCAGCCTGAACAGACTACGACAGTCCTTATTCTTCTACTTGAGGTAGGCTCGTCTATTGCATTTTGTTATAGCACCCTGAACAGACTACGACAATCCTTATTCTTCTACTTGAGGTAGACTTCATGAGGGTAAGAACTTTGACTTGTTTATTGTTGCAGTCCCAGTTCTTAGAAGAGTTGTAGAGTAAGAGGCATACAATATGTATTTGTTAGAGATGTAAATTAACATAATGAATGTGAGATGACTGAAGACAAATTTACCTGGTGAGATTTATCACCCTGAAATTTGATCAGCTGGCAGAGGAGGGATTTCACCTGGCGCAGACATATGATTAAACATAAACATATAGGAGATAGTTTCTAAGTATCACTTCACATTATGAGATGTATCTATCAAAGGCATCTAGAGATCATAGGCAGCTAACAAGTTTGCTGAGAGGTGTCTCTTTACTTGCCATCCCTACATCTTCCCAGTGTCACTTTAGCTTTGAGGCAGCTTTCCAGCTCTGGCCGTGCACAAATTTACCACCCAATGGCAGAGATCCCTGTGTTTGCTCTTACTATCCTGAGCAGATGGCTTAGAGTTAAATAGACAATAACTCACAATTTCTATGTGTGAGATGGTCCAACTACAAAGTGTTTAGTCTTAAGATTGGCTTGTTTCTGCCAACTAGATAGAGCCACTTAGTCAAAACTTCTGAGTGATTAGCTAATTACCACCTCTTTCCCTTTATGTAGTCATAGCTGTTTATTGTTAATTCATTTATGTATTAGACAAGATTCTCCAGAGAAACAGAAACAGCAGGATGAAGAAATATATAGAAAGAGATTTATTAAGGAATTGGCTCACGCTCTGTGGAGACTTGGCCAGTCCAAAATCTGACGGGGGATCCTGGCAGGCTAGAGTTGCAAAAAAAGAGTTTTAATTCAAGTCCAGAAGCAGTCTGCTGGAGAATTCCCTTTTGCTCTGCAGAAATCAGTCTTTGTTCTGTTCGGACATTTAACTGATGGAATGAGGCCCACCCACATTACGGAGAGCAATCTGCTTCCCTCTAAGTCCACCAATTTAAATCTAAATTTCAAACAAAACGCCCTCACAGAAACATCCAGAATAATGCTTGAACAAATACCTGGGTACCATGGCCCAGACACATGAAATTAACCATCACAGTCTGCTCCCTTGCTTTCTTGGTCATTTGTTTTTGGTTGTCTTTTCCTTGCTCCAATCCTCTTAGGTCCCTGAGGGTCAGCATTATTTCCCCAGGGTTATCTAATACAAAACCTGTAGTGACCTGAAAAGTCCCAAGCCCACTTTCCAGCTTCCCCACTGACCACCCAACACCACCAGTTCTGCCTCTGTAAATGGAGATATTTTAGCCACCTAAAGCATAGGTTTATTATAATAATCAAATGAGACAAAAACACAATGACAAGTTCTGTAAACACAAAGTCATATTAAAACTATTAGTTAAAATTTTTTATATATCAAAGGTCTTATCTTTCAAAACAACGAATGGGGAAATAGAAACTTCTGCATGGGAAGCATATTACAGTTGAGTAGCTGGGTCATTGGTATAAAGAAAGACTAAATTAATAAAGCAGGTTTATTAGTGAGGGTACAATGACTTTAAGGGTTAAGAAAAGTTTTAAAGACCACAACAGATGATTGGTGAAGATGCCAAGAATAGTGTCAGATTTAAAGTACACAGAACATTCACGTCTAAACTTAGGCCTCTTGGAAAGTTAGCACACCCTTCCCTGATTCTCCCCCATGAAATGAGTCCTGGCAGGTGGTGTGGGGATGCGGTGACATCTGGAATAAGGGGAGCTCAGATCACATGGGACTGTTTGTGAGAAGCTACTCAAAAAGACTGAACAGAGCTTGTCACTTCCCCACCTACCATGTGCAGTTCACATCCCCCATGTGAGTCGATGCTGGACCAGTATGTGATTGTCAGTGTCCATCACTCTGGGGGTCTGTACACCTCACATTCCTGATCAGACCATTCCTGTAACTCTAGAGAGTGAAGGAAGTTTTCCCCTCACCTCAATCTAAGATCCAGTTGCTTAGTCCTTATTTTCCACACCAAGGCAAACATTTTAGATTTCAGTTCCTTTGGAGAATAAGTCAGATCCATTCACGGAGGGCTAGCCTTGTCCTATGGCTCCTCAAGGTCAACAGTCCAAGATCAATACAGTTTGCAAGGTCAGTATCCATCAGTCTTCAAAGACTCCACTGCACAGGACAAAGGTGAGAATTATTCAGCTCATGTCAGGACTGTTTCTTTGCAGACCCTCCTGTCCAGAAGTTCAAAAATTTTGGGGTCCCATCTCACTCCAGGTCACTTGTTACAAAACCACAGTGCTCTATGTTGAATGTGTCCCCCCAAAATTCATGTGTTGGAAACTTGATCCCCATTGTAACAGTGTTAAGAGGGTGGAAGGTGAGACGCTTAAGAGGTGATTGGATCGCCAGGCCTGTGCTCTCACGAATGGATTAATTCATTCATGAATTAATGGGTTGATGGTTCAATGGGTTGTCATGGGTATAGTTCTGATGGCTTTACAAGGAGAGCAAGAGAGGTGGTTAGCTCTTTTGCTCATGCCTGTGTCACCACAGGACCCTGTAGAGAGTTCCCACCCAGAAGAAGGCCCTTACCAGAGGCAGCCCCTGGATCAAGGACTTCCCAACTTCTGAAAATGTGAAAAATAAATTTTGTTTGTTTATAAGTTATACACTTTCAGGTATTCTATTATAAGCAACAGAAACGGACAAATAACACATGTTGTTGTGTACTCCTGAATAACCTGTTT